TGTTATTCAGTGTATCCTATCACCAGTTTGTCTTTATGAAGTCATTGTTAAGGGATATGAGAAGCCCTGTAGACCTCCACTAGAGAACTTTCTCTAAGTTGACATATTTCTAATCATCACTCTTTTTTGATGATGAAGATTGTGGTGATGGAATGAGAGGTTCATTATTTCTGAACTTCTGAAATATCATCAAAACTGTTTTTTTCCCATCTTTTCTACAAGGATATCTTGAGGCAAAGTCCACTTTATATTTGTGACATTCCCTTGTTTTGTAAGATATATCAAGAAAAAAAGTAAATGATTAAAGGCATGAATTGTTTTTGAGGAACCCACCCATGATCATCTCTAATTCCTTTTCTAAGTATTCACAAATCATTCCACATTCTAGAATAATGTGTTCTAGAATTTTATCAAGAATTGAAGTCAATATGCTCTAATTGGTAGAATCCATTTCCTCTCCTTTTTTGAAAATTGGGACATCTTCTTGCCCCTAGGTTTGTGATGTTTCTCCTACCTTTCCTAGTTTTTAAATGAATTAATATAATAAAGGAATTAAATTGTTATTAAGAAAAGTTAATTTCATTAGCTGCTTTGGCTTTGGGGGAGAAAGCACTAGCAGATAGATATCTAGATAATTGAAGTCACATCAGTACTACATTATGCTTCTGTTCCAGCATTATGATTTGGTTCCAGTTCTCATCAACCATCTTCTCTTCTTGCCTAAAAGGTTTGTAATATACTATCACTATTGTTTTCCTGTCTGTACAATGAGAGTTTGGACTAAATGATCATCCAGGTCTCTTCTAGCCCTAAATCTTTGATCCTGTGAGGCCATGATTTTTAAATCTACCTTTGATGTTCCTCTTATATTTCATCTTATTTCACCTCTATTGATCCTTGTTCTAATTGGAACAGTGAATAGAGCACTGGACCTGGACTCAGGAAAACAGGAGTCTAAGTCTGGCCTCAGGCACTTATTACCTGTGTGATGCTAGGCAGGTCACTTAAGCAATATGTATACCTCATTTTCCTTACCTGTAAAGTGAGGGTAATAGTAGCACCTAACTCAGAGTTATGAGAATAAAATGAAATAGTATTTGTAAATGTTTAGCTTAACTTAAAGTACTATATAAATGCTATGATGATGATATTTTATAGTTTTGCCTCTACCTTTTGATTTTGATGATGGAATGATAGGGTCAAAGCAAGGGAACATTCAGAACCTGAAGAATGAGGAGACCTTAGAGATTACTTAGTGCTCTTCTACTTATCTTCTGAAAGAAGTGCAATAATACAGATAAGTGGATGTCTGTGTTTTGTTTGTATTGGAGCCTGAAAAGGACATTTCACATAAAATCCAGAAAAAGGGACAAGGATCTTTGAGGTCTTTCAACTCCATGATGAATTTCTAAGTCACAAAATGGAATATTTTTTCTAAATGTATTTCCATGTATCTTCATATGCATATACACCCACCTATACATACACAATACAGAACACAACATACATACATATATGTGTTAGTTTCTGCCTGGATAATCTTGAGGGGTAAAAAGGGAAGTGAGGTAGCCTACATGACTTTTCTTCTGGAAGACCTAATGATCCTTAGGTTGTGTCTATGCATTCTGTCTTTGAGATCAGTGTTTTGCTTGCATAGTGAGTATATTTTCTTTTATTAGCACTGTAGCCTAGATCTAGGGTTTTCATAGAACTGGAAAGCTGGAGGGGGGACTGGCTTTTTGTACCATTCCCATGCATTATCTATGTTCTTGATTTTGTTTTTAATGGCACAGTAAAATTTAGTTATGTTCATGTACCACAGTTTATCGAGTTATTCACTCAGCTGATGGTTATCTACTTCATTTTCAGTTCTTTGGTTCTATAAGTACTTTATCTTTGGTGCATAATTTCTGTTTTGGAGAGATTTGAGAGGTTGTGGGGATCAAAGAAAATTTTTGCATCTATCAAGACCTTTCTCTCTTTGCTTTCCTTGGGATATATGTATAAGAAAAGTAATTTTGACTATATGTAATTTATACGTTGTGCACTAACTTTAGAATCAACCTTTGTGTAAGATAGAACCCTACTGTATTGTGTAAGGTGGGTATTTTAAAGAAAGTTTAAGTGAATCTTTTAATAAAGTGATTAACAATATACTATAGTTTCTTTGAAGCCTTGTAGTGCACTGCAATGAGCACTGTATTTGGAGTCAAAGGACCTGCGTTCAATTCTACTGCCACTGCTGTGACATGTAAAGTAAGGGTGGGGAGGAGGGTGACCTTATTTTACAGTTCTTTCTCACTCTAAATCCGTCATCTTATGATGAAGATACACTGATGACAATTGAAAACATGTGCTATATTCCAGATCTAAAACAGAGATTATTCTTTTACTTTTTTGTAATAATCAAAACATAATGTTTTTCAAGCATCTGAATATATATTTAAGTGTCCAAAGCAAGGGTTCTTAGCTTGATGTCTGAGACTTTATAAATTTTTTTTGGTAAATATCTTTTAATATAATTGGTTTCTTTTATAAAAGTACATATTCAAAGACATCATTCTGAGAAGGAGCCCATAGCCTCCTAACTTCAAGAGGAGATCCATAGCAAAAAATGTTAAGATTCTCTACTCTGAAGATTCCTTTGAAGGAGTAACTGAGAAAGACGACATAAATATTTGAATTTTAACATATAAATGTTGTTATGGTATGGAAAATATCAATGATTACTAATAGGTTCTTTTAGTAGGGTTAAATTAGTCCTGCTCGGATGATGGCATTATATTTTTATTTCACAGCCAAGGGAGCTGGAGCAATTGTCACAATATGTTTTTTTTCTTTTGGGTATTTTATAAATCCCTTATTGAAGTGTGAATTAAGGAAACACATAGAAACATTACAATAAAAATTCCATTCTGTTGAAACTGTGTAAGATTGAGTACAGCATTCATAGAAACTAAAAATAGTTTTTTAATTGTCTCTAGAGATTCATGGGATGCATGTGGAAAAGACAAGTTGGACTTTTCTATTTTGTCTTGGTTATATGTCACTATTCATATCAATTTTCTGCCATAATTTATTCATAAAATTTAATCACATACAGATTTCTGTCTGCTTGCAACTCAAAATTAATGTGAATTCCATTTCAAACTAATCTGTATAAAAAGTTTCTGAAAGTCTGGTTTATATATTTTTTGAAGTGCTGTATGAGGACGGTTTACTTAGCTTTAAGTTTTTGGAGACTTTTTTCTCTCATCAAATTGTTAAGTTTTGGGTAATAGTGACAATGATGGTATCATATCATGTTTCACTTTGATGCTGTTCCATTCAGTAATGGGTAGCTATCTGCATACTTTATTTTTGCATCATTTAGTATCATATTTCTGTGAAAAGAAAAGGACCCTGAAATTTATCTAGTTTAACAACTAAAAAATAACTCCCATGGGAAAGTGTGTCTCTCACCACTTTTAGTTTTGTGTCTTTTCACATTTTGGGAGTTCTCAGTTACAATTAGAAATAGGGAGTAGAACTGTGATTTCATTGGTATAAGGGACACCTGCTGAGAAATTTCCTCCATTAAAGCAAGTAGGCACTATCTCATCTTAGAGAATTTTGTAGAGCATTGAGAGTTTAGTGACTTGCCCAGAGTCAGAAAGCCAGTGTCTGTCAAAGGTGGTACTTGAATCTAGGTCTTCCTTACTTCAAGGACAGCTTTTTATCCACTGTGCCACTACCTCTTGTTACTAATATATAAACATACAACCAAAACATGGGAAGATTAGTATCTATTCTCTGATTACTTATAGGAGGATTCTATAGAAATAACGTTTGAAATCAGTGCTTTTCTGATTTGTATTTGTTTTTTTGGACCTTACAGGGAAGTTGGGCAGAATAACTTAAATTGAATTTATTCTAGGTGGTATTAGGTATTTTACAATTGATTGAGGCAGACTGAGATTACTGTTTAATATATCGCTCAATTTTAGTAGCTGGAGGGACAAGTTGGCTGAAATTGGCTGCTTTATCACTTATGGGTACTAGATATCGACTATAGATTAGTCCAGATTTATGAGTCAGGAGCAGTTTTCTACTGCCTTGTGCATTTTCCCATTTTCATGGTCACATGTAAGCAAGTACCCTTTTCAGTATTTCAAGTCTTTCATTAATTCCTTAGGTGAAAGTCTCTTCTGTCAGATATTTAACTTGTGTGTGTTAGTAGTAGTTACTTTTTTTTTGCCTCATTTAATGATACACTTAGGCAGAGAGAAAGAAGATGCTCTTGCTTATCCTATCTATTGGCACATATTTGATAGGGACACCCATAAAGAGAAGAATTTGGAGCATTTTTTGTGTGTTTCTCCCATCCTTACTTTCCCATGAATAGTCCTTCATGTCTTGATTTATCTTGATCAGCCTAGTAACTTGCTCCACATTTTTCCAAAGATGCAAAGCAGTTTCAGCTAAAAATACACATATCAAAATCTTCCAAAAGTTGTGGCCTCAGCTCAAAAATGCTGATTAATTTTGAAAATCTAAATCAATTCCGGCCATGAAACATAGGGAAGAACCTTTTGTGGTGAGGATATATTTCCAAAAATTTTACCACAGCCCTGTTCCTAGCTGGGATTTGTGCTGATGTTGCCAGACAACTGAGGAATAGATGCAAAAAGCAGGAAGCATTATTGAATTGAATTCCAACGCCAATTTGGGAAAAGCAAATTAAAATGTAAAATAATATTTTTTCCACTCTTGACTTCTCAACATAAAACTTCAAAATACATGACTGCTAAAGAAGGTACAGAAAAGCCTAATCCTGCCAGGAAGTTAAAGCTTATTATCTTTTTCTTTTAAAATTAAAAAATTTTGCATCAGCCCTGGTGAAGGAGAAATTACTTACTGTCATCACAGATAAGTAGTTACAAGTTGTAAATCAAAATATGTATATTCTCTTGTAAGCAAATTATAAATATTTTGTTTTACTGTATTCTGTTGTTTTCTAGGTACCACTTGAAAAATGGATGATGATGATTTTGGTGGTTTTGAGGTATGTAGTATTCTTGACTTTATTATTCTGATATGTATTTTTAAACCAATATAGTTTTTATCTGTAGGTAGATTTATTTTATAAATGTATTATTTAGCATTTTAAGTTAGTTCTTTTTTATTATTTGTATTTTGTTTTGGAATATGAGGCCAAAATTAAAGAAAATTCATTCTTTTTTATTTTACATTTTTTAGGCAGTTGAGGTTAAGTGACTTGCCCAGGGTCACACAGCTAGTAAGTGTCAAGTGTTTGCTCTGAGGCTGTATTTGAACTCAGGTCTTTCTGACTCTAGGGCCGGTGCTCTATCCACTGTGCCACCTAGCTGCCCCAAAAATTCATTCTTAAAAAACCAAACCAGCAATTCTTTTCAACACCTAACCAATTAATTATCATTGAACATTTTCACATAGGAAAGGTTTAGGCAGAGATAATGCTATCAGTGGATCAATTGTAAAATAGCTTTCTGAGAAATTGTCAGCAGATGATTTTATTGTACTACATCTCCATTAGCAAATACTTGTGAGATGACAGATGGGTGTTGAAGATCCTACCACATGTTTGCATGGTTTATACCTGCAACAAGATATTCTAGTATATTATGTATAAGGTCTTTTTGTGCTTTTAAGAGCTAATTAGCATGCTTGTGTTAGGTTATTTTCAGGTTTTGGTTTGATGTTCTGTAAATGGAAAGTGTGACCTGAGGAGGCACTTCTTCCCTTAATTCTTTTCAGTGTGTTTTCAGTATATTGAAATACTTTATAACTCAGTTATTTTTATGGTGCCAGTGTAGTCTTGGAGAAAATTTCTTGATTAGGAATTAGGACACCTGAATTCTAGTCCTGGCCCCATCAATGAATAAACTATATGATTTTTGTGCAAACTCATTAACTTAGGGATTTTGGTTAAAAAGGAGATTTGTAAAATAGGGAGTATAATTTCTAGGATCGTTTTGTAAAATAAGATAGTATCCAGGGAGTGCTCTGAACACTTTGAAAGGAAGATGTAAGATATTATATTAATGATAAAAAATGTTCGTATAGCAGCTATCAAGTTGTAGATATGAAAAGCTTTGAACTGTCTAGTATACTGTTCTTGATTCATTTAAAAATATTGTTGATACATTTGGAAACTTGACTTATTCATCAAAATTTTTGTTTTTCTGCAAACTCTGAATCTTACTGAATATGAAAGCTAGTCTGATACCAACCCTCCACATTGTATTTCTTTGAGTGATTGATTTTTGTTTATTCAAGCGAAATGTAACATTTCAAATGATCAATTCTTTCCACTTTGAGGAAATAAATTATGTTTAAAATGTCATCTGATGTGATTTATTGTTTGGAAGTTGTCATTTATTTGAAGGTTGCATCCCAGAATAATCTTCTTTTATTGAAACCATATTATATCAACAGGAAAACAAAGCATGGTTAGTTCCTTTCCTGAGAGTAACAGTTTCAATTCCATATTCTCCAGTGGTTTCCAAACTTTTTCTCTTATGAGTTCCATTGATAAAAAATGTTTGAGTACACACCTCCAATGTATATATATTTATTGGTTGTAAGTTATGTATGTGCTACTATATTAACATATTATGTACATTATGAAACATACATTAAATAAATTTTTAAAAATAAAATAAATATTTTGAAAGTGATTTTGATTTTCTTTTAGTGTTAGAAAAATCTTTTTGCTTTTACTGAAATGTTATCATTGATCATGAATTTTTCCCAAGAGCAAATGATTTAATATGCCTTTTGAAAATATTGATTTAATACTTTATAATTCATCAGTCATTGATTAATCATCCATTAAAGTCTGGTTCTAAGTTCAGTTTATTTTAATTCTTGGTTTTAATAACTATGGTATTCAGTCCAATAGTTCATGTTTGAGATTGTAATGAAATGAGATATTTATGAAACATCTAACAGTTAAGAAAAGGAAGTTTATTCAGTTATTACAAGGTAGAATATTCAACAAAAATACAGCATTGGTTCAGTTGAGCATAGATAGCTGCCCTGCTTCTATGTTGCCAGTGCTGGTCTGATAATCAGAAGGCTAAGAGAAGAACTGCTAACTCCTTGTGACCTGGCTTTCTTGTACTCAGACTATCTGAAAGTTATCAATAATTGCTTGAAGTGTAGTTTCATGAGCCATTTAAGTCGTGAGGACAGTTTTGTGTTCATTTAAAGAAAAATCAACGTAGCATTCATGGTGCCTATAGGGCCTTCAGTTGTGCTTTTGCTAAACCTATCCCATGGTGGTCAGATTTCTTCTAGATAGCTTCCTACTACTTAAAAGGCTTCAGTACTCTGGCATAGGCAGCACTGGAGAAGGAAAAGAAAGACTAAAACAGAAAAGCATCCCTCCCCCTTTTACAAAACAAAACAAATAACACAACAGCCTTCTGAAGGAATGACATAATATACAGGAAGAGACCAAAGACCTAAAATCCCAGACTTTGTCTCTTCTCTTCAGGACTGAGTCAGATCTTCATGATCTAGTGATGCCATACCTTTTCAGTTTCCAGTGATTGTCCTGATGCAAAGTGGTAATGAATGGAAACAGCACTATGAGCATTGGGATCACAGTACAAATGATGCTTCATGCATAGTCTCCAGTCTGCGTCATGAGGTTGAGTCATCTTCATTAAGATAGTCAAAGGGTGAATTACCCTCTTGAATGTAACCTGTCTTAGTGTCCAGATCAGTACTGAGAATTGTTCTGTATCACCACTCATTTAGTGTAAAGAAGTTTCCCACTAATAACTCTTTTAAAAGGTATGAAGACATTCTTCAATCAAACTTAATGGCCACTATTTGCTTAAAGATAATCTGCATTCCTAGTGACCTTTAAAAAGTAAAACACTTTCTGGGGAGTCAGTTAAGACAGCTAGCCCTTAGGAGTGTCTCTAGCAGAGTTTATCAAATTGGGGGAAGGGTTTCTTATCTTCCACTCTCCATGGCAGCATGCAGTGCATCAGGGTCTAGTTGTCAGTGGAAAAAGTTTTCAAGAGGAGTTGAAAGAGAGGGCATTAGCCCTCGCAGACAGGAACTGACTTTGGGAGAGATCTAGAGAGGTAAGCAGAGATTCTGAGCATGGTGGGGAGTAGTGTATGTATACAAGGAGAAGAGAAAGTACCTCAGGTTCCTGCAACACCAGGGTTGTGAGTTGACTTGGCCACAGGTATTCCCTAAGAGTGTGCCTCTCAATGAGTGTGTACCTGTAATTCCCATTGGCACTGTATTTTTAGGAGAGTATGCTGCAGGTTTATGCAAAGATTGCTTTTTTCCTATGGTTCATGTTATGCTATTTCAGAAAATACCTTTGCTTTAATTTAGTTGTGTTAACTTGATGATTGGAGGCAAACCAATTGTGGGGCATTATAAATTTTAGTTTTAGAAGTACATATCTATAGTGTGCCTTAATCCTGGCAGACATCTCTTAGGTAAACCAACCTACAATTTAGGAGGCAGTCCTAGGAGAGTTGATACATTATTTTTTTTAATCCTCTTCTCTATTATACACATTCCTTACCTGCATTCATGTATTTACATATTGGGGAAAAAAAAAAAACTGGTTGTGAACACCAAGGAATAATCAGTTTCTATCTAATTTATAACAGTGATAGACCCCAGCAAGGTCAAATGAGCAAAAATATCTGTATCTGAATTCTTATGGTATAATTTACATTTTCTCAGTTTTATAACTTTCATCTCACCAATGTTAAAAACAATACAATTATCATTCCTCACCTCCTAATACCCATTAGTTGCCACTGGAAATAGAAAACTTAATTTTGTATCTGTTCTAGCATTCCTTCCCTATTACAAAAACTACTGGCCCCAATTTTCTAAGCAAATAAAGGTCATTAGAGAAAGTAGAATGGAAGAAGGAGATGGGTGTGGGGAAAAGAAGAGCTCTTAATAATAAAGGGAAGGGTAACACTGGGAAAAAAACAAACAAACAAACAAAGACTTCACACTCCATCTCATATCCAGAACTTTGTTTTTCTTTTTCCACATGAGACACATCTCCTTAGGACCTTGCTATTATAAACCAACCTTGTGTTTATGTTTCTTGGCCAAGTCAGTCAAATCAAACTTGCCTTAATAAACCTTTATCAAGTACCTACTATGTACAGGCACTCAGCTAAGAATGCAAAGAAAGGCAAAAAACAGTTCCTGCTCTCAAAGAGCTCACAGTTAAATGGGGAAGAGAACATGCAAAGAACTATTTACAAGCAAGATATGAACATGATACATTGAAGGTAATTTCAGAGAGAAGGCACTAGCATTAAGGTGGATTGGGAAAAGCTTCTCGCAGAAGGTAAGATTTTAATTGAGACCTGGAGGTAGTTAAGGAAGTCAAGGAGACCGAAATGAGAAGGACAATTTCAGGCATGGGGAGACAGTGAATGAAATACCTTGAGTCTGGAGATGGAGTTTCTTGTATGAGAAACAGCAGAGGCCAGTGTTACTGAATCATGTGGAGGGGAATAAGATCAAAGAAAACTGGAAATGTAATAAGGAGCCAAGCTATGAAGAGTTTTAAAAGTTGGTAATAGAAAACTATTAGAGTTTATTGAATGGAGAGGAACATGGTAAGATCTGTGCTTTAGAGAGATCACTTTGACAGCTTGTGGAGGATGAACTAGAGTGGGTGATGATGTGAAGTAACTGCTATCTCTTTCAGATTTACTAAAAGTATTGGCTAAGAAAGTTCCTGGCAGTCTTCTTATGTAGTTTTGAAATGTAGATGTAACATAGTTTAGTGGATAGAGCAGGGGTGGGGAACTTTCGGCCTTGAACCACAAGTGGCACCCTTTAGATCCTTAAGTGCATTCCTCTGACTGAATCCAAACTTCAGAGCACAAATCCCATTAATAAAAGGCCACAGGTTCGCCACCCCTGGGATAGAGTGTTGAATGTGAAATCAAGTTCAAATTGAGGTTCAAATTTTGTCCCTGACTCTTATTATCTGTGTAACATTAGTCAAATTAC